AACCAGACGAGGCTCCATAGAGAGCACGCTGTTTCCATTCATAACCTTCTCTTTAGCAGTTGAACAGAGCGCCTTGTACAGTAAGATACTCTCAGGGAGTTCACTGAGGTGTCATTGAGCAGAGGCAGACACAGTGGGTTAGGGATTGATCTGGTCATGAGTGGTTTGTGAGTCTTTTATGTTTTTCACAAAATATGCAAACACCTATTTCCTGGCCGTCCACGTGTGGAGACGTGCCCGTGGTATTGTTTCGATTTGATTCACAAGCGTTTACTCACGATTTTTATTAAAGAAATATGTCATAGACTCTCACTTGACGGTTTGGGTTTTGACATGAAAGGAAGACTGGACCATATGGTTTGTCAGTTAAAATCAGCAGGAGTGTTTTTAACTGTGGTCGATGAAAACGAGCCATATTTTTATAGTAAGTATCAGATGGAGGAGGTAGTCTCCCATGTCAGTACCCCATACATCATATATCGCTGCACGTAAATAATATTTGCATGTACTGTAGAGTTGCTGTAGTGAAACAGGAGTGCTCCACGCTACACCTCTCACAGACGTCTGCCACCTGTGGCTCGCTGCGAGATCACATTTGACTGATGCAGCGAATAAAATTAGAAAAAAAAGGACTGTAAAAGTTTTATGAAAACACTTGCTTGCTAACAGCAAATCAACATAATGTTACTGTCCGTAGATCAGGTGTGCAATTTTAAGGTTAAGTTAGCTATGGTAATATGATATTATGTTTGAATTGATCATTGCCAGCATGTAGAAACATGATAAACGACAACAAAAGTCAACAGATATAAATCTGTAGTGTAACTAGAGTACTCCATGTACTTCACTACTGCCATCTTTAAAATGTGTTTGTAAAAATGGTAAAATGGCTGTTTTGGTTGCCGATCTCTGACCTACAGTTATTGGTTCATGTCTCCAAACAAAGTAAATGTTTTTCAATTTACAGTGAACCGTCTGACTTAAAGACTTTTTACAGTCAGTGGTCACTGTCCTCTGGTTTATTGCCATCATGAGACTTTATTGTTTTATTTTTTTTTTAAATAGGAGGCAGATGTGGTTTGCACACAAACTCTTTGTTGATGAAAATATTCATGTCTTATGACATGTTACCAAGTCGGGGTTTTTTTTAAATTCTCTTTAAGAACCTGTGTGAACCTCGGTCCCACACTTTCAGTTGTGTTTGTGTAGATAAATCATGAAGTTGGATTTGATTTAGATGAGGAGAGTAACCTCTTAACAGATAAACTGGAAGTTTCCTTTTGTTTCTTAAACATTTCAAACACAAAAGCATTAATTCATATATAAGAAGACACTGGGTTTATTCACTTGGACAGATAAACAGTCTTGAAGGAACTGTTCTCCTCCTTTACTCCCATTCTCTCAGTAGCATTCACACACAGATCGTAGTCTTTGACTGTTGGAGGAGCCCACTCCTGCCCCCTCTGCCACACCCGTGACAACACACTCCCTCGTTAATTTGCTTATTATGCTGTGCGTCAGCTGTTAGCCGTTATCCGCAGATTACACAAAAACACCGCATTCTACACGAACCCAGGTCCACATCTACCCGAGTGTCCGTGTGTGGGATGTGCACAGCACCAGAGCTGCTGTATGATTCAGGGAGGCTGAGAGAAAGATGCACCTGCTGACTCTCTGCTGCCTGCTAGGCCCTGATATCCATGACATAAAGGACTCCCCGATCCCATGCATCTCATTAAATCGGTGTCAGGATCACGTTTGTCGGATCACGGCTCAGTGCCAACGCCGTCTCCATCCATCCGTGACACTACGGCCACAAAACGGTGCGTTTGCGAAACGCATTGAATTTCTGTTGTTTTGGGTTTTTCTCCTTCCAATGTGATGCTTCCGATCCCATCACCTACAATGTCATCATTCCCAACCACAAAGGCAGCACGCAGCCCTCCCACTGCTGCTACAATCAAATAACAAAAGCCATACCTGCGCCGTCGGATCTGAGCGTCAATCCCGACGAGTCCTGATGAGCAGGGACCTGAACGATGTGCGCCACCGCTGCCGCCACCACAGCCTCCGCCGCCGCTGCTCCGTCTCCCCCTGCTCTCTGATGAAGCTGCAGGATGGAGACAGCAGACACACGCAAGCCGGCAAAGAAGGCTTTACAGCAGAGATGAGCGACTCGGATGAGAGGACAGGGGCGTTTTCACGGTGGAAGCGAGGGGGACTCCTAACGTCGTGCGTGGGATGAGAGCGAGCCTACGTTCGTGATGCGCATCTCTCTCCTCCTACCACATGCTTCTCTCCTGCTCTTCATTTTCTGACCTAGAAGACAATTAATGTGTAATTAACGACCTTCTTATCACTTCCGCATGGGTCGTGTTGTTTGATCGTTAACGCCGACGTCTGTTAACAAAACTTAAGGATAACATTTCCTACGATCCACTGACCATTTTATTATAAACGGTAGATTTCTGTTGAGAAAACCAACACCGTATTATCGAACCTCTTAGGTGTCATTAATTCACCTGTCACTCACTTAAAAAGTCCAAATGCAGAGTGCATTGCACATAATGAATTGGAAATTAAAGATCCCTGCGTTGCCTAAAGCTAATGGAAAGTGTTATTGATTGTTAACCAATAAGATGCTGTGTTCAATCACAATCAGATCTTTATGCTCCTTATACTCTGGTGAAATTGAAATTCAACGTGGCTTCCCTTATATTCTCTGCATTTGTGCTGAATGCGATGTAAATAGTTCTGCTTTTTCAAGTCAAATGTGGACGCTGCAGCTGACACAAAGTGCTGAGTCATGTCTCGTACCTGTTGATTTACTGATGTCTATTTTACAATCTTAATACCGAAACCTGTTACCAGTTCATTTTGACGTCCGTTGTAGGCCATACATTGGATTGTGCTATATTTGCTTTTCTAAATTTCCCATAGGGAAATCACGAGTGATTAATAAAGTGCCATCTATCATCTGTTTGTGTTGGGTTTTTTGGGACTTTTTGCCCTACATTATGGCTCCCAGGTGTAAGTCAGACTCTTGTGATGTTTTTACGTCCTAGATTATGATGTTATCACTGTCTTAACATAGGTGAGTGATGTAGGCACAGAATGTGAGTGTGTAGCAGGCTAATTTGTGACTACAGCAGTTGACACGTGACTGTACGTTTCACTGGTGTCATAAACAGGTGAGTGTTTGGAAAAATGGTGACTTCTCCTTGAAGTCCTAAGGCTCAGTAAATAAGCAGGTTGGCAAGAGAAACAGCGAAAAACAGTATGTAATAAGAGAACAACACGACAGAGAGGAGACACACAAACACGCAAAGAGGAGGATGACACAGACGCAGGAATGAACAACAGATCACGTTAAGTGACAGCAGATTTTTATCTTTGGTCTAAGTGACACGCAGTGATGCCTCTGGTGTCATACAGTTTTTGTTCTTTTTGTTCAATGTTGTCCGCCCAGCTGTAGCTTTTTGCAAACGTTACCACTTCAGGAAAATTCTTCTTTTTTTTTTATTGCAGCCTTTTGGCATGTAGAGTACAATAGGGACCGCAGTGCAAGAAGAGTAACAGAGTAAAAGCCTCGGTGGCTGACGTATTGCGTTGGTGACTCATCTGTGCTGAACACCCACTGAGGCGTTTTTTTCCACAAGTGTTCTGTTCAAATGCAAATGTACATTCAGAGGAAGGATCTGCACCCGTCATGCTTCAGCGGGTGACCTACACCTGTTCACCGTATAGGCCGAGAATGAGCAGCAGGATGACTGTGTAGCAATGTGATAGAGATGTGAATGTCTTTTAGGACACTCAATGAACATGTGCCATTGAAAAAGTTATCACATGACTGGCATTCCCAAAAAAAAAAACATTTAAAAGTGCAAACGCTCACGGGCCAAAATGAGGTTCAAATTCTGTCCTGCGGTCTGGTTATGCATTTGTTGGCTGTAGAATTCCTGTTCAAATATTTTAAATAAAATGTACGAAATAGTGGCATCAACTGAAATTTCTGCAGATTTGTTGTAAGGAATGAAACAGAAGGGTTGACAACAGTTTTACAGCCATATCTGGCCCACGAGTCGTAGTTTGAGCCGTAGTTTGCCTATGTCTGGTTGTGATATAGCAATATTATATAATATATATATATATATATATATGTATGTATATGTATATGTGGAACAGATCAGTGAGACTGTTTTAACACTGTTGGACTAGATATAGTCTGTATATATTATAGTGTATTTTATCTGAACATTACTTTGTGCTACATTCATTGCATAAAAAGTGTTTTATAAATAAGTAAAGTTAAAGTTATTGATAAAATTATGTAATATCCACCTAGGTCTGGATGCATTACCTGCAACCTGATCCCAAAAGTCTGACCAGGAAACGTGCAGTGGGCCTGTTGTGAACTGTGCATTACTGTCAGGAGAGAAATACAACCCACAGGTGTGGTGCTAAATTTGTTCACTAATTTAATAACCCTGTCACAGTCGATTTTTGTTTTATGACCTGCCACCATTCCCAGTGTAGCACTTTGGAAAAACTCTTAACTTTTCTTCTCGGCTCATGCAGCATTTGTATTGGTATTTGTTTGCCTGGTGGAATGTTGTGGAGACGTTTCTCATGTATTTCTGACTGGCTGACAGAAGAGTTCAAATGTTTAAGTCAATCCTGACCTTGGCAACATGAGGGTATGGTACATTTGGAGGAATATTTCAAATTGTACGTACTCAGAAGTAAACAGGATGAGATGTTGAGATGACAGCAAATCTGATTCTTTTGTGATTTCACTTTAAGAGAAACAAACAGGAACCTGTTGTTGTGAATGATACCTGATTCTTCACAGGAGTTTAAAAACTCCTTACTTTGTCTTCTGGTCATTCTCTGCAAAAAAAAAAAATCTTCACCTTGGCAGTCACCATCACTCAGTCTCAGGGACTACAGTCATTTTGCCTGGTTTTACGTCTGTCTCACATGACCAGGGAATAATAAATAAATATGTCAACACATCGTAAGGAGCATTTGAAGGTGACCACGGCTACATTCCGTTACAGTGTGATTACAAAGAAGGTCGTTCTACTCTGCTGACCAACTCTGGCTTTTACAGTGTCATAAACAAATACAAAAACCACAGCCGTCAAACCGTAAACATTTTAATTCGATTAATCAGAGAGTAGCTTTAGGTTAGTCATGATTAATCATTATTAATCAAAATGAATCTTGAACCTTTAAATGACCTTTCCCTGTCCTCGGTCCCACAAACACGTGTTGGCCAGTGAGAGGTTTTTTTTTAGCGTGAGTTTCTAAGGTGATTTTTTTTTTCCTGTGTGAAAATAACAACATGTATACCTGTTGTTACAGTGTTCTGCAGCGCTTCCTTATGTATAGACCTGTATAGTCACGCACACTCTCACACACATACGTCAACACTCACAAAGCTATTGTTTCCAAACTAAACTGAATCAATTTAACCTGCTGTGCCCACACTGTTCTAACTCCACGGCCCCTAACTTGGGAACCCCTGATCTATATTCAATGGTAGAGCAACATTAAATGGATGGACAGGAAAGTATTGGGTACACAGTGTTGGTCATTATGCCTTTTTATTAAAATGTGTTAAAAATATAGTCTAACTAATGAAATAATCAACAGGTTACTTTAGGCATCTCTATCAAAACCACAAAACTGTGTTTTCACTGTGATCACAGTACATTTAGTACATGTACGTCTCAGATCTTGAAGTTATACGATACTTTTTTGGTACTGTTTACTTGGACAGCTACATTCTTAGTTTACTTCTCAAATATAGTATTTTATTTTCACAGTTTACTACTTTCATCAGAGTTCCCAGAGCAGGAAGCTCATAACGCTGATTGATGTTTGTGGCTGCAGTCAAATACACACTGCCAAGAGTTGTTTATCGGTTTACTACCTCTGACGATGAGCATGCAGGAAAATGCTAAGAATGTGTGAGCCAGTGAGTGTGTTGGTCGACTCATATAGACTCATCAGTTTGTCAATGTGTATAAACCTGACTGAAATGTCAACCATGCAGCTTCATAGTGCGTTCCATTCCATCTTAATCTTTCATCTCAATCATCTCGAACAGACTATAAGCCCTCAGAAGGAAGTAAGAGGGGAAAAAAACACAAACTTTAGGTCAGGGTGGCAAATGTATGGCCCATGGGCCAAAACTGGCTCCTTAGGAGGTTAAATCCAGCCTACTTTATCAAACGGATCAGATTGTAAGAAAGTAAAACACAGGAATTTGAAAAATCTTAATACGTAAAATGCTGTTTCAGACATTGATTGCGCTTAAAAAATACACTGCTAACCCAATGATTTATTTGATTTTTATATATATATATATATACTTCTACAAGTGATGCAAATGATTATTATTTCCCTTTAGAAATAGCTGTTAATACCACTATGATGTTAAATGACAAATACACGCCCAAGGCGTAAATGGAGCCATGACTGCAAGGAGCAATTTAGCATGACAAGAAGATTACAAAACATCAGACTGGAGTGGAGGTAGACAGAGAATACTTCACAGAAGCCAAGTCATGAAGAACTATTTCTTTCAGGGGCCACTGGCTGTGATTTATGGCTGTTTTGTTAAATTTGATGTATAAGCGTCTATAAATGTTGTGTTGAGCTGATGTTATCTACTCTGGTTCAGTGCCAGCGTGGCTGAGGCCGGCTGAAGTGTTGTGTCTGTGTGCTTTGGTCACAGTGAATTTAAAAAGCTTTTCAAACTCAAGGCACCGTCTGACAGTTTTGGATTTGGCTCTAACGTTTTTGTTTGTTACTCATTATGTTGCTCAACAACTGTGATACTATGACAGATGATGTTCTGTTCAAAAATGGTCTCAATAATCAGGGTTCAGAGTTGACTTTTTTTGTTTCTCAAGATCAATTTTAATCTGATCCTTAGACAGAAAGATTGTTAATCTGATTACTATCAGGACAATCTTCTTATGATTTAGTCCCATTTCTTTCATGAAATATAAAAAAATGTGATAACTGTAATAATTGTTGTATCCTGCCTGTGGTAGATTGTACTTGTATCTATGTTGAACTGCAGGAATGTTCCCCTGACTGTATGGAATCTCCTACTAAGGCACTGGGACGTTGAGCCTTGTCATCTCATTTTTTAGTAGACATATAGACAATAATCCCTCAATCTGAGCCTAATCCATGAAAACATTTACATTTGTTGTTTTAGAGTCCTGGTTGACATTTCTGGGCTCTGAGTACCAGGGCCAGATGCGTCACCTTCTTAGCCACCCACGGCTACTCAAACAAGCGCTAACACAGTAGATGCCGGCAAAAATAAGGAGAACAGGCCTGAATTAGCAGGATTTATTTGAAATGTGAAATGGTAGGCTTCCAGCCGATTATCTTTAGTCATTAAAAAACACGGCCAAAGCCTCTCAGCAATGTGCAATAAAACTGCTCTGCTGAGTTAAATCCATAGGCTGTATATCAGACGTAGCTGGTCAGTTCATCATACTGACCCCTGGTCCCTGAAAAACACCTCAAGTATTTCAGAAATATCTAAGGTTTAAATAATATCTTATAAAAAAATATATTAATTTAACTTTGACAGTATAAGCATAACCAAACTTTACAGATGATAATAATGATCATCAGAATCCTGTAGCACAGTCCAGCTGTGTCTTCTCTGATGGATGGTGTAGCTTTACCTTCTATTTCCTACCAAACAGCATAATCATTTTCAACATCACAAGATTTTTTTTATATTTCAGACCTAGAGAGATAACAACCCTGAAATATTAATTATCCTTATAATAATACATAATATAATTTATTATGTTGACACTGGCTGGTTCAGTGAACTTTTCTAAATATTAGTGTTAAAGAACTGAATAAAAAGAAAGGAATTTTTATTCAGTTATCCATATCCATATTCCACACGGTGTGTATCTGAGTTCTGATGAGGATGTACTTACTTCAGTTTCCATAAATGTGTCAGAAATGATGGTACAGCTGGAGCTGTGCAGTGCAACTAACATAAGATGACAAAAAAAACATGCGGTGTAAGACATTTAAAAATATGGCGTTGATTAACGAGGACACATGCAGTTGTGATACCACGTGTTATTGCCCTTCAAAATCGTGACGCCACAATTTGCGTGTAACTTTCTTAAGCGTGGCATTAGCTCTTATTCTCCGTGTGTGTGTGTGTGTGTGTTACATTACCCACAGGTCCAATCACCTTTTAGTGCAGTAACCCCCAACTAACTGATAGCAGAGTCTACGATCTGTCAGAGCAGAAAGTGCAGGGCTGTGTCTTTGAAGAGCCGTGATTTATGGTGATGAGATGGCAGCTGGTGGTTCTGCTCTGACTCACGTAGAACTGCAGGCAATCAGAGGCACACGCTTCTCATTTTTCTCATTTTCCAGGTAGAACCTTTCAGCCTTCTGCAACTTCTTTGTGTTTATTCATAACGGAGTAAACAAAATGGGCACCGTCTTAAATCAACGTTGAAAGAAGAAGAGGGCGCGACGCACAGACCAAAACATTTCCATCGATCTTACACTCAGTATCGACTGGCGAAACGTTCGTCTTTCGCTTGGAAACTACACATTCATGCAGAAATATATTGAATACATTTGAACTACATTCAGGTCAAAGTTCATTTTATATACTATTTGAGACATGTTTCAGCACACCAGGACAGGACCAGCTAGTTGCTACCACCAAGTTTAGCACATTTTCACCAAACCTATGTTTGACCACAAAAATATTTACTGTATATTTTAAAAAATAAAAACTATAGTAAAACGTTTTAGCTTAAACTTTCAGTTATATTGATATATTGGGAATAAAAAGACATTGAAATTCATTCCTAATTCTAAAAGCAATCATATACTTAATGGCACCTCCTGTGGCAGCCTGTGAGAATGACTTTCAGCATTGTGGGTTGTTTAAGGGGCATTTCAGTTTTTTTTGGGGGGGGGGGCTTATATAACAGTGTGTAATAATAAGTCATTCCCATTTTTTTCTGGAAGCAACCATTTGAGTCAGTGATAGACAGTCGGATTCAAAATAAAAAAAAGAATTTCACTTAATTCACATTTTTTATATATTGTTACTTGTCGCTTATGTCGCTTCCTCATTTTACATTGCGTTGTCCCTAGCAATCTAAGCAGATATGTTTCAGAGGCAATCGTAACAGTAGGTTGAATTGCAGATGGTGAAGATGAAGATGAGGAAACTTGGGAGACAAAAAGTTTATTTTGTTTCAGGCTTCTGTTCGCCAAAGTTCTTGTTTCCCTTACTGAGTGAAACTAGAGAATAACTCTGTGGCCGTGTGGAGTTTCCTCAGGTTAAACATCCTGTTAGCATTTTGTAAACACTTACAGTCAAACACTAGTGAGCCACCAGTTGGGTTTGTTCATCATCAGAAGCCACTAAAGCAGAGATCGTTGTAAAGAATGTAGACATCTTCCTGACAGTGTGCAGACACTAAAAGTGAAACTGAATGATGATCTCTGAGGTACTGACCTTTTCTGGACTCTCTTCTCTCCCACTTCCACGTTTGTTCTTCCCGCAGAGGAAATGCCAGTGATTAAGCTTTGAAGCGGAACGACAGAGAGGGACTCATTCAGAATTCAGAAAAGGCAGAAAGGCAATTGACAAAGTTTCAGATGTGGTCAGAATTTGTGATGTGGTCAGAATTTGTGAGACAACAGTGAGTGGATATGAACATCAGGGCTCCGCAGATTTATACGAGGTTTTCTGTCACATTTAGATTGTGTCGACTGTGTGTCTGTTTTAGCTCATATAAAAATCCAGTGCTGTGGTGCTGCATCTGGACAGGGGAAAAAACGATTGGAATCATTTAATATTTGATGGATTTCATCACGGGTCTGGCTGTATATGCAAGATAAAATAAATCAACAAGACTATCTCCATCCAAATGTATGTTCTAATAAAGCCTTACAGGAGTCCAAGAAAAAGGGTGGGTGACATTCCCAGTCAAAGGCCTTACAGTGGCTGGCACTGTACTGTAGGGTGGGTTAAAATATATATTGGTATATGAGTGTACAAGTATTATAAAGCAAATAAAAAAAGTGTATCCAAATGTTATTAAAGAAGGCCGGATATGATGAATATATATATACGTATATATATTTGACCATGGGCCACAATAGGCCCCCAGGCCAGACTTTGAACATACCTGCTTTGGGTAACAACATCACATAGAATAGAAATAAGTCAGTGTTTCATGCAGTCTGTTTTTCTACAATTTCACTTTAGGGATAGCGAATATGCTCTCAATCTATCTGGAATCTTTTTCTATTTTTTCCCAACTTGGGAATAGGGCCAAAAACAGGAGTATGGCACAGAACCCTGTCAGCGGGGGAATTTGGAAGGAACAAGAGGGCAGTCATGAGTCTTGACGGATTACCGCTGAATGCTTTGTTGAAGAACATCTGCTGATGTGAAGATAAAGATTATCCAAATATGTCTGAAACTCAGCATTTGTTTTTTTGTGCATTACTGAAAAGCTGGCGTTGGGACTGGTGCTGATGGGACTGGTGTGAAAAGTTTGAAGCCAGTGGCAAACTGGTTAGCAATCCAGCTCAGTGTCATCGAATTCCTCGCACTAATCGTATATTGAAAGTGATTTACAGTATTTATGGACAGAGTAAAAATGGAGCGAGAGAGATTTTCAGACAGCGATGTCAAGCTGGAACTTAGTATCGTCCTCGTATATCAAATGTCGGCCTTTGCAGCTGACAGACATCTTTGTTTCAAAGGGAAATGTACAATTTTTGTCATTTCAAACCTCCCCTGCTTGTTGCGTAATGCGTCAGTCAAAATGGAGAAATGTACATTCAAGACATGTGTTGCCAATGATCCTAGAACCATGTGTCAGGTCACCCTGTTCATATTAGTCCGCAAAACCACATTTGAGTCTGTGGCAAAAGAACCTTGTCTGTGTTGTTGTGTGTGTAAAGGATACGATGACTGTGACCTGAGCACATGAATACTTAATCCTACAAACAAAGTTTGAAGAGGTGAAAGCACAGAGCCATAATTTATGATGCCTGTAAATACAAATAGGCCCTACTTAGTGCTTACTTTATAAAGTGGAAGGTCCTGGAACACAGAGAATGGGTGGTCCCGCCGACCATTGTGCTGTATCCTGTATCCCACTAAGATCTGACTAAATTAGGCCCTGCGCCCCCTTTTTAGTTATTTTGTGCAACCAATTTGTCCTGGTACTTCATGTCCAGACACATGTTCCACAGTCTGGCTGTTCACTGCATGCATGTGCAGTCCCAAAGAATACTGTTGAAACCTTCAGGATGTCTGTGTCTGCTGCCCCTGCTGGTAGCCACTGTACTGTATATAAGTCCTTTTGTCAGCTGTAGCACTGATCCAGTACAAGTCCTCTGTCATTACTAACATCTCAGACAGAAGCCTCATCTTTACCCAACCTCCCTGTGAAAAGTAGAATAACTCTTACATAAGTTTTACAATAAGAAGCTGTTGCCTAATCACCAGACACTGCACCTACTGTAGGTTAAAGAATTCTAATTATTGAGACCTTTTTTGTCCAGACACTGCACCTACTGTAGGTTAAAAAATTCTAATTATTGAGACCTTTTATGTCAGTGGAACCCCGAGATACGAGCGTCCAGAGTAGTATTTCCAGATATGAGTAAGACTTCGAGCAAATTTTGCTTCGAGATACGAGTGCTTACAGACGCCGACGCTAGGTGGCCGAGCACTCGGAGCAGACCACGCTGCCTCACTCGTTCACTTCACGTGTTCGTCAACTTCCGTACGCATCTCCTGCGAGTCTTCTGTATTGTGTTTGCGTTATCTACGGTATGTTATTCTCTCCCTATTTTGTGCATTATTCTTCATAATAGTGAGGAGTCCTAAAAAAGTGAGTCGTAAGGATGGTAGTTAGAAGAAGAAACACATGATGACCATGGAAAAAAACTATGAAATTGTCGATAAATATCAGCGTGGTGCCCGCTAAAGAAAGAATACAGCAAAAAAAATTTAAAAATACAAAAGTATTCGAAATACGGGCACCTCGAGTTACGAGCTCAGTCCTGGAACGGATTATGCTCATATCTCGAGGTTCCACTGTATTCTACTTTCAAACCACAAATCTGTGTACTCTGATTCCTACCTAAACGGTCAAAGCACCACTCCATGATCCAAATTCCAGATTTGTCTCCGTCATCATTCCTCCACGATTACATAATCTGTGTTTTGGCTTTGGGATTATTCCGCTCACAGACAGGTGGATAGACGAACAGCTTCCCTCGCAGACGTAATAATACGCTATTTTCACCTTCAAATAAATCATACCGTCATTGAGTTCATGGCAGTAGGACACACAAGCTGAGGAACTTTGCAATGTGCAAAATATAGTACTGACAGAATGATATGGTGCAGTGGCAGGCAGCAGCCTGTTGCAGCAGCTAATAGAGTTAGAAGTACCTAAGCGTGTTGAGAAGGAAAAAAATATCTATTCAAGCGTGTGCCGGTACAGACAAAAGGTCAAAGAGTACACGTAGTACAGTTAGAAGCAAACATAATCCGTCCAAAAGTCGGTGCAAACGACTGGGAAGTCAAATGACAAATGTGAAACAGATGTTTCAAAGAATCATGAAATGCCAGGTGTGGTGGAAAAATAAAGCAGTAAAGATACTCAAACTGAAACACAATGAATTGTTTTGGTCTATCGTCTAATTTCTTCCACTGCAGTATTCTGCAAATGGAAAATAAACAGCCAGATTATTGCACACGAACGTATACATATACATATACAATACTTGATATTTTGTTTCATGGCTGTCAAACAAGTACAGTTTCTAATCTGATTGTAGTGAATCACAGTTACTCCTGATTAAACTCCTGATAAATTCATATTCCTCAAAATATCTGTATACTGCTGAAGGTAGACGTATGTGCGTTTTTGTTTGTTTGTTTGTTTTTTGTTTTTCTCCCCTTATTTAAAGTTTTAAGATGACATCTGGAACATGAACGGAGTTGCTTACGAAAGCTCAGTGTCACTGGTCTGATCGTTGGGCGTCCCAGCAAATGACTGCTGGATGTGGAGTAGGTATATTGTGCATCAGTGGAACTGTATTTGTTGTAACTACTGCCTGCATGTTGTACCAAACTGAAGTGAGTTCATGTAAACACACATTTCATGGGGTTAGGGTTGCCTCAGGCTGGGAAATTGGAGGGGTCGGGTGGTGGAGACTGTTTGGCCCTCGGAGGCGGGAGGGCTGGGACCGTCCCTGCTGGACCAACAAAATAGTTTCGTGAAAACTGGTCCCCACACGGTGTGTGCACGAACATACTCACACTCCCACACACTGAGTGTAGGGGGTGGAGGATGAGGGTGGGGGCGGACGGGGTCGGGTGATTAAGAGGTGCGGTGGGTGTGGACCTACTCCTCTCCTAAGCCTCGCTCCGAGATGATTCCTACTTTAAGAAGTGACTTCCATCCAGGCGCACATACTCGGTGTTCTGCTCCGAAGTGCACCCTGGTGTAGTAAGGAACTTTAAAAAAAAAAAAGTTTTTTTTTTCTCCGCTCTTCACCCTGCACTATACGGGATTACTGAAGACAGACACGTTGAAGGGAACCGTTTGACCCAACGTCCGTCGATCATCGTGTTTATTTGACATATGGAACGCTTGGGATGCGAGTCTCGGAGGGATCTACAATAAAGTTCATGGGATTTCACTGGATGCTGGTGATTAATGTGACATTTGAGCTCCATCTTCATTAAGCGATGCTCGTTTGGAGGAGTATCTGACATGACGAGGATCATTTCCATCCTGGCAAAAATCATGCTTTTCAAAATACTGGCGTTAATTCTCTTACAAGGTAGGTTTTGTCTCAAAAAGTGCAATGCATTTTTAGTACGCATTTTAATATGTACGGGACAGAAAACCCCTTTTTTCTTACATTCTCTTATATTATAAAAGGTGTGTTGACGTCCGATGATACCTCGGTTAAGTCAGAGAGCGGCCGTGGAAAAGTTCCACAGTCCAGCGGGCTCTTCGACTCCGGGGAGTCCGTGCGTCTGCAGCAATCTGCGGCAGTGAAGTCCAGGTCCAAGCGCTGCACCTGTTATTCCTACAAGGATAAAGAGTGCGTCTACTACTGCCATCTGGATATCATCTGGATCAACACTCCCGAGTAAGTAAGATTCGATTACTTCAACAGTGTAAACAGTGTATGTTTTTTGTAACCATCCTAAACTCCGTTACAAACTCCTCCCGTTGTCAGTGGTTGATGAACAAACACAATTCAGTCAGGATTTTATTATTCTTTTGTTGTTTGTTTGTTTTTTTGCATGTGTTAATTTTGTTTAACTTAGGGGTAACATTGCAGCCCAAATACTCCTATGTGAGGTGGCTTCTCCCCCCAGGCCCAGACGCAGGTTCAAGTAATGGCAAGTCCAAGCAACTCTTCCTGTCAGGTTAAACTTAGAATTAAGATTAGAGAGGTGTCACTTTTCAATGTGAGGATTGTTTCTTTCACTAGCAAATCAAACGCACATTTAAGATTCTTTGTATTTCCACAGTAACATAACATTAATCAGGAGGATTTTGTCCACAGACGTGGTACTAGTATTTCTGTAGCTTCTGGGATGCCAAATGTCTTCTAAAGTAGCCAGAAAATACTGATGACTGACTTCTAGAAGATTAAGTTAGATCCCACACCCTTTTAGTTTTTGTGCAGTCTAATGCAGTGACCAGGGGCTAAAAACAATTATTATATTATCTTATGTAAGTTTTGGTCTTTCCAGTAAAACACACTCTTTAAGCCTCCTAATTTAGTTTTAAGCTTCCTGTGTTATGATTGAAAAAGGAAAAATAAATAGGCAAAGTGCAATGGGACTCTCCAACGTCAGCCCTGGTGAAAATCTCCTGTTCGTTTACAAAGATCGTTCACTTATTATACACTGTCTTTTACCTTCTATTTCCCCCTAAATAGGATTGTAGTTAGCTAATTTAACAAACGTTTTGATGAAGACGCCTTGAGCTGTCTGAAAGGGATCATGTTTTTCCAGAAGCTGTAACTTACTGTATGTTATTATGGTAAAGAGTTACCACTTGTAATATTTCTTTATGGCTTTTAAAGGCGGCTACGCCCAGTGATTTTTTTTTTTTCATGTGTCAAAAATTGCATTTTTTGCTAAAGATTTGTTATCTAATAAATAACACACATAAAACAACTAAATAATTTTTTTTTTTGAAAAAACGAGAAATCCTTCTTATATAATTCTTTGCTGCTCCCTGGTGAACGGAGGCATGCATAAAGATTTCAACATGTTGCGATGAAAGAGTTTTAATCAGGAACAGCAGATATTGCAGAGCTGAAGAGAAGTACTACTGTTGTACTGCTACCATGCGGTGCTGCTATGTCAAAGGGTTAGTCTTTGTTTAGTTTAATTCATAATCCCTGTCGTCCTCCCTGGTGTGTCCCTGAACTGTTCAAGATGATTTGTAATAGCGGTCTTAGTGTGTGGTCCAACACAAAAGTGTCAAAATAATACATTTTCTTCAATGAGAAGAATTTGCGCCTTTTGGTAGATAAGTTATGTGTCGACTCACACCTTCACACGTTAATGTTTTGATCAGCGTTGTCAGGTGGACTGTCTTTGGCCCCGACACTGGGACAACACCTCAGAATGTTGGCACTGCAGGCGGTTATGAACCGTGGAGAGAAAACTGGCATGACAATGTGTTCTCATATAAAGTATGTCTTACGTGTCCTGACATAGTGCGTGTTGACGGTAGCTGAAGATAGTAGCAATTTTCATCACCGTGTTGTTTGAAGAATAGTGTTTTGTTTTAACACCTCTGAACAGCATATTAAGAGCCTTGGCAGTGGCTGTAAAATGCATTCTTTCTAACTTTCTTCTCCTGCCAAGGTGACTCAGTTAGTCAAGAGCTCCTCTTATTATTGCTAAGCAAGTATAGACAGACATACATAGTTTATTGCCTGAGTAGGATGTTAGCATAAAATATACCACAAAATGATCATAAATGAAACAGGGTCCTTTTCAAATTCCTCATTTTGTTTCATAACCATTAAGTTAAATTATAAGGTAGGGTGAGCCGGGGCATTCCCAAGCGATAAGCTGTGTAAAAGTGGAGCACTCTTGTCTTGCTATCAGTACTGTGTGCCAGTGCTACCATGTAGTTATTTATTTTAAATAATAAAGACTGGGCTAGGGCATCATTATTCTGTCATGAG